CCTTGTGCGAATGGATTCTCGCATATGTGACAGTGTGTGGCGCTACGGTATGCCCCCCCACTGTTCCTTTGACAAATTTTCCATAGGGACATTAGTGGATAATTTTTCTTTTACGTGTTGTGATAACACTTTGAGTTGGTCGGCGAACCACGCGACGCAATCCGTGTCGCGGCGGAAACGGTACGTTGACTGCGAGTTGTCGTACGAGCAATGCACGTAGTATGCAATACTAAATACCTCATGATGCTGGTATGCTTTGGTATCGGTATCAGTCTTTTTCAAGATGCATTCAAGGTCCGCGTACACTACAAACGGCACACGTTCCTTCCTGCTGTGGTTGTTGAAGCTGAGCCACTTGTCCTCCTCGCTGGGTAATACGATCGCGCAGTTATTTATCTGTTGACAGTCCACGCTGTGGGCTTCCAACTTTCCATTTGAATGGAAATAATGCAAACATCTGGAAAGAAAAAACATTTTTATATTTTTTCAAATAAAACAATTTTTCATAAATTTTATTGATACTCACCGATCGCAAATGTATTTTTTCCCATGGGCACCACTCAATTGTGAACTGACGAGGCGGGATAAGTTTTTTATCCAGACGAAGTGGCCCACTTCAGCACCCCTCTGATCTTGTAGGTATAAAAGGTTTACGTGCTTCTCCTTCTTCTCGTCAGCAACTCGTAGCGGTACGATTGTGTGTTCACAATTATTCTTTTCATCGACGCTGTATACGTTGATGGAAATACTGTTCAATTGTTCAAATTTTTTCACTTGGTTGAGTGTCATTGGAAAGCTAATGTCTCGCAGGTTTAGCACGTCGCTGTAATGCGGATACGACGATTTACGATTCACGTGTATTTCAGCCGGATGCAGAGCAGCGACCACCGACCACGCGAAACACGCATTGTCCTTTGATTGTACGTTGATCACTGCTTTCTTTCGTTTTACCACTTCTGGCATGTCTATATGGCATCCCGCGCGCATAGGATTGCACTTGTTAACATTAATGGTTACGTTGTGTATACGCGACAGCGCCCACCCGCTATCACGCTCCTGGAATTCTTCGAGTTCGGTTAGAATCGGACCGATTACGCGTGACTCGTACCACTGTTGTAGGTCCGTTGTACGGAACAGTTCAAAGTTTTTTGTATTTATGCTTTTATTTGCACGTTTGTCGCCCGCCACAAACTCCCCGTTGAACGCGGTATTCACCTTTACACAATTATAGCGTTCGATAGCGTCTCGCACGTGCTTGACCACTACATCGCGAGCGTCCTCGAGAAATTTGCGCGGCTCGATGTACTCCACGTTAATCACCGCACCGGTAAGCACGCGACTGTCAAACGCGGTGTCGATCTCACGCCACGTCAGTTGCGCGCTCGAAGAAGGTCCGGCACCACCACCGAAATGTACGAATCGTCTTTCAACTCGGCACTTGACACACTCGAGTCGCGCGATTCGAGCCACCAGCGATTGTCTGTTGCCAATGGACAACCTTGGACGCTTGATACGGCTCTGTTCCTCTAGCTCCGCGATGCACTCGTCGCATTGCTGCAGCCACCCCAAATAATCACCCAATGTGGCGATCCTGTCGGCTCGCTCCGCCAGATCTTGGTCTCGTCGCTCCATGTTGTCGCGCTAGCGTCTTTTCACGTTA